ATGGATTAATCTTGTTTCAGTTTTCTTTAGCTGTTTTCCTATTATCAAAAGTTGTCCACTTTAAAGGTACATTGCATCTCATCTCTTCTGTCAGCATATATTGGTATTTTAACTTTAACCTTACTATATAGCATAAATGAATTTTGAATTTGAATTCCTTCCTACCAACAGCCATCACTTTAAAAAACAAATCCAACTGACTGAATGATTATTATTCTTGTATATAATATATGTTATATTGATTTTTAAAAAAAAAGAAAGAAAGAAAGAAAGGTGAGCTTTTACAGGATTGAATTTCCCTTCTGGGATGAATAAAGTATTTTTCATTTCATTAAACTGTTTACATGTACACATTGCACTTGTTCTCTGTTCCAATGAGGAACAATGATTTATCTCATTTAGTTGTACATCATGACATATGATCTAATGAGAGGTATTATACAGTAAATGCTAACATGAGATTTTTCTCACTGACATCCACTTAGCACCTTGAAATACCGTTTGCATACTAATACTGTAATCTTTATGCAAATCTGTCATTAGCAAATGACTTTGTCAGGTTGTTTTATAGATTCGATAGACATAAATTGCACCATAACCAAGTGAAATAATGAATTGTATGTGCTTGTCTAGTGTTCCAGTAGATGTAATTTTGCAACAAACAGCCGAGGCAGGAATAGATTTTAGATACATTTAATTGAATGATACTAACAAGACAGACCGTAACACTAAAACAGAGTAACCAAGCATGGAAAATGTACAACATATAATTATAGTGCAGTTATGAATTACACATTTTAGACATAAGCTGCATCCAGTTGTGACAGGTGCCAGCTGGCCCATCGGTAGTGTTCTAAATCACAATGAAAAGTTAACTGATTCATCCTGGGGATACCATAGTGAAGGTTTGCTGATGCTCCTTGGATGTTGCTCGGTTTATTTTAAAATAAATCTGGCCTCTTGTCATTTCACAAAAGTGGGGCAAGGCAAGCTGAGTTTTCTGGGCTAACCTCTGCAGCGAGTCACTTCAACAATCTGTTTGCTCTTCTTTAGCTTCCTTGAATTCAATAAACACATAAAAACTACAAAAATGTGCTAACGATATCATCAAAGCTTTGCTACCAATCACATATTTTGGCTTTGCCGTATTTATAGTTATGTATAACCCAAAGTTAGCTAAAGAAAGAAGGAGGAGGTTCTGTATGCAACCTCCAATCAACATGCAATTGAAATGGATGTAATTACAACAACTGACCATGAGGGGGTGACAAACTGCACTTAATGATTCCAATACAACTTGACTGTATTGTGTCTGCAACATTTGGTAACAGTTTCGTAGCTTATTAGAATTAAAAATAAATTGGTGTATCGATATGAAGAGTTAATTTGCAAAAACAGATAACTCCATCTTCACAAACCTTCAGAAAACCCATTTTTCCATCGTCTACAATATCAATCAAACTTTAGTTATCTATTTTAGTCATGTCATTTCTACTGAGTCAGATCCACTCAACTTCAATTTAATTGATATTATCTCAAGCAAACAACAACAACAACAAAAATAAGTTTTCTGAAAATTTACCAAAATGAAGTTATCTGTTTAGGCAAATGAACTCTTCCCATAAAGTTTGTTTTGATTGATTTTGAATTGTATATTGTCAAAAATAGTAAAACTTTGTTAAATGTTTGTTTGCTTGCCACAGAAAAACCCTCTCACACAGAAATCTATGTGTTATGTGAATATGGTGCACCAACATCATGAGTATGTTCAAGATTTCACACTCTGTTGTTGATTAATGTGTCGGCTTAATCCCATAAGAACTGAGTCGTATTAGATATGGAAATAAAATTTACTCATTTATTAAATGGCCCTATTGTTTTTGCGTGACTTACATAGTTCACATTAGGAACACAATAGATGGAGCTGTGTTATTAGATTATGAAAGTATGTTTTATACAGTTTTACATCATATTCTAGGGCACAGTGTTTATTGAATAACCTTTGTAAAAACACATAGTAAAGAATGATTTAAATGTTTTTTGTTATTTTTTTCTTTTGCTTTGAACGACCAGTTGGATATTGAAGAAAACGTGACTGTGTGTGTGTGTGTGTGTGTGTGTGTGTGTGTGTGTGTGTGTGTGTGTGTGTGTTAATTTAATTACAGGCAGATGGATTTGTTTTTGAGACAACAGTCATAAAATCATTCAGCCAGGCAACAAAATGTATCCACAAATTGTTTTGTTCTTTATGAACTCTGAGCTCACATTAGGAAGCATAACACCTCATCTGAGGCAATTAGAGGTGTAATAACTCAGATTGAAACGTATCTGTACTGGACTGAAGGATTTGGACCAACATGCACAGTGATGTTAAAGGCCTGTTTTGTTGCAGGAGGCCTCATATCACATTCTTACAGGCTCAGAGAGATGATTTTATTTGTGAAGATGAATGTAAAGCTACCCTCCTTTCAGTGTTTTTTAAAACAGTTTAAAAACTGTATTTTTGCATGTTTAATTACCGATTAGCATGGTTTTGTTAATTGAGTGTATTTATGGCTGTGTATTGTCTGGGTCACGCCCTTTTAATGTGCAGTTTCCTCATAGTGCCACACGATGGCGAGTGCGAGCAAGTAGTGTCCCAGTTTACTCCTCACGATCCGTGGTTTACTCCAGCATCACCGGCTCATGAGGATGTAGTGCGCCTGCACAGTGATGAGGGAACTTGGAAGTTTGGCCTTCAAAATAAGAGCTTTATTAACATTGGAAACAGGCGTCTTGTGCACTGTGGGATCTACACCGTCATCTTTAATGTGCATGGATCTGTTGTTAATATTCCAGTGGAAATAGATTGCTAAAAGAAAACATCCATGTTAATGTAATGCTCAGAGAATGTGACTCAATAAGGCACACAACACAGAAAATGCAACCAAACTGCAGTGACGATTATGCAAACCCCCTCTACATGTGGCTTCAGATATCTGATAGAAAGCATAAACAAAAAATGATGCTAAAAACTCACTGCAACCAAAAATTCTGAAACAAACAAACAAACGATAGGTGGAATTTTGGACTTTTGGCATCCACACAGCAATCTATATATTAAAGTAAGAATTCAACTTAATATTTAAATCAGTTAAATAGATTTGCATGATAAATAACATTGTAGTTTTGTTTTTTTTTTTAAATCTGAATATTTAAACTTGTTAGGGGAATTTATGCAATAAATAAAACAGTGTGGTCTTTGCCTAAACATTTGAATCAGTGAAGTCAATATGTATAATAAATAAAAATTGTGGGGGACCTTAACCATAATATTTATTGGTAACATTAAAATCAGTCACGTAATGTAGTATATGAAATAACATTGCAGGGTCCTAATTTAAATGTGTGACGTAAATGTACATATTAAATGTTTTGTAGGGGTTTAATCTCAATATTTAAATTAGCAAAACAAGTCTGCATGATAAATAACACTGAGGGGTATTGCTGAGCACATTTGTCATGTGAATCTTATTTATCTATTAGAAAGCAATTCGCTCAATGTCTGCTATTTTTAACGTGCTTTATAAATAACAGTGGCATGGCTTGATTCACCATAGTATCATATAGGAAGAAACTTTTGTCTACGTTGTTTACTTTTTTCTAACAAAAAACAGCACCTGCAGGCACAACCGTGAAAAGGGTTGATCCTTTATTTTGAAAACCCTGACCGGATGCTCTGTCTGTGACAGCCGTTGCCTTGACACCGGTGCTGAGTGGCCCATTGAGCCCAGTCTCTTAATAGGAGTATCGCCCCGGCGGACAGCAGCGGCAGCCTTCTGGCGCGGATATTTTTTTGAATTTTCTGGATTTATACATCACAGATAAACTCCGGGATGCCTTCAAATGTCCAAGGTAATAAATAGCACGATAGCGGACTGCCCTGTCCTCGTTCCCGGGCATCTTCTTATGTGTGTTGCTAGCTAAAAAGCTTAACGTTACAATAGAGCATCAGAGGCCGACCGGCTACCGTCCAAGCTAAGCCTGTGTCGAGAATAAACAGCTACCTGCTAAATTAACCTCCTTTTTATTGTTGTTTTTTCTCAGGTGGGAAAGCCTTCGGGCTGTTAAAGGAGCAGCAAAGGCAAAAATTGGAAGAAATAAACAAGGTACGCATGTTCTCTTTATGTCTCCAACGGCACCGGACGGGAATTTGAATTTAATGAGCTCGCGCACACTTGACTTGGCATTAGCCTCGTTGTTGAACGCGGCACTGAGGATTCACAGCGCTGGGATTGAGCTGTCTCAGTGGTGCTGTGAATAATTAATAACACCATTCACATGTATGGGAGCTGACCATAGCGATGCTGCCGATGCATTTTATCGATCCCCTCCTGTGGCACTTGTTGAACGGCTGTCACACATGTCCGTGTTGAGGGACTCACTATTTCCCTCTGACCCGATTCCATCGATCAGCAGCGGAGAGCATTTGAAGCCATCCCCTGGCCGCTCCGCTCTGCTCTCCGGCTGGAAACAGGTGTCTGAATAGAGCCCTTTGTTTCACATCAGGCCTCGTTTCGTCAGATAACCGCAGCAGTCTCCTCAGATTAACCGGGCGCCTGTGTAATCTCTGCTTCTCTGCTTTACTTTGGCTGTCATCAGCTCGCTGCTGCAGCCACATGAGAAGCAGGTCGCTCAAAGTGCAGAACACTCCATGTTCCAGTTATCTGGTGCTTCCAGGTTCTTCATTTGTTCTGCAGAGAAATGGGAACAGAAGTGACCCCTGTTCCCTAAGCTGCTGGGTCTAAAAATAACAGCTGTCCTGTGGTTAAATCCGGGCTTTTTGTTCAGTGACATCTATTTCACTCTATTGTATTAACATGGGTTCATTTGCATTAGTGGATCCTGTGGTAATGAAACTTCAAATCCCAGCAGTGTTATATGTATGTGGAGGTTATCCATCTGCCAAAAGCTGATACATTAGCAGTACATCAAACAACCAATTTTTTTTAAAGCAAAAAGACTCATTCTATCTACTTAAGTAGTGCAGAAGCTGACGATGATTTTCATTCGCAGGTATTTTGCAATTTTTTTCCACCACTCATCAAAAGTTGCACATACTAGTTCTTTGAGCATACCATTGAATGTCGTATTTTATCAGCCCAGCAGTACAAAACCTCCAAACATTTGCTTTACTATAGTGTAAGATAAGGGAAAGCAGCAAAATCCCACACACAGTCATTAAAGTGGTGGACTGTTTATTTTGTTTCGTATAAGTTATACTCAGTGAACTATCTTTGAGTTTTGGCCTGTTATTTTTTCACCAATTTCTTATTGTGGACAAAAATACAAAGGCGCCATGTAATGTATTGTAAAATTCTAGCTGTTCTTTTTAACATAGTGGAAAAAGTATTTGTTGTTCCTACACACACACATAGGAAACAACCACATGCTGTATTGAACAACAGGATTGAAATGAGTAATGAGAAAATTAGATTTTTATTCTCTAAGTCCAAAAAGAAAACCATTTTCATACTGCGTTTAGATTTTTGCTCAGTGTACATGTCATGGATCAAGCAGATTGAGAAGCCTACAAGGGCATCCAAAGAATGCACGTATCTCTCTTTTTTTTTTAAGTTATTTTTTTGGCCTTTGTTGGATAGTGCAGTGAGAGAGAGACAGGAAAGTAGGGGAGAAGAATGGGGGGAGGGTGTGTGGGAAAGGGCCATGAGCGGGATTCGAACTCATGACCTCCACATTGGGACTGTAGCCCTGTACATGGGACGCCAGCTCAACCAGGTGAGCTACAGCGGCCCCGGCGTACCTCACGATTTTAATGAAACTCGTCCAAATCTGCACCAAAACTCCACTAGGCATTTATTGTTTTTGCTCGCTGACTGACACAGCACTGATCATAAACTTTTGCCAAAGGTGTGAGTTTATTGCCTGATAATTTGCTTATCTAAATGTTCAGCCATATAGATATAGACAGGTTTCATACCTTGTAATACTGGCCCTGCACTTGCTCAAATATACTTGCGTTTGTGACTGAAAGGACATCCCTGTCTGAGAGTTGCAGGAGTGATTCAGCACCGCTGAGTCAGGCGTCTGTGATAAACATCCAGTTGTGGCGTTTATCGCTTTACCCTTAATTACGAGCTTGACGGACACGCAGAGGTCAACAGAGAACAACCTCACTCTCTGTCTTTCTTGCTCTCCCTTCTTTCTATGAGGACAGGCCATCACTCCCACATGGCATATTGCGTCATTATAATTTCATTAGAATAACTCCCTTCAGGCTCCTTTATACCCCTGTGAGGTGTTCCAGTTAATGAACACAGTGATAAGTAATGGCAATCCAGGGAGAGGGACATCTTAAGACTGTGAGTCATCACTCTCAAGTTGAATTTTTTGACATGACATGATCAGATTAAAAGACTTGTTAGTCTTAGTTAGTGTTCTAATGTACATGTGGGCTTTTGTGTATTGTATAACGGTCCTGGAATTTCTCAAGAATTCTCTCAGAACCGTTTGAAGGGGGTTTCAGTTTCATTAAAGCCAGTAAAACTTGTTTTTTTCTGATCACCTTGGGTTTTCTTTCTCTTTCTCAGGAATACCTGGAAGACCAGAAATACAGGGATGAAGAAGACCTGCCTGAAAAATTGGAAAGTTTGAAAAGTAAGCAAACCCAGTCCTGTCCTCAGTTTTGTTAGTGTCTACTGCGTGTTCATTTTTCCTGGCTTTTGTCTTACCCACAATATTTATTTATTTGTTGGCAGGCTACACACACACACACACACACACATGCACACACATACACACACGCACGCACGCACACACATTGGCTCTTAGTGTTCAGCATTGTTTTTCTCTGTGGGAAAGACAGACTGCTGTGATTTCTAAAAGATTTGCAAGGCCAAGTCCTCAGTGGCCTGGGAGGAATGTGCTGGGGCGTTCCTCTGCTTGTTGTTACAATATTCAGAACTTTGCTGGGTCCAACTCATAGCTCCCAGGAACAGAAACAATATCACTACAATCTAATTAGAGAAATAGAAGTGAATGATGTATAAAATAACTCCTTATTCTTCAGATATTAACATGAATGCATTGGTTACATGTAGAGCATTTTGTTTTCTTTTTTTAGTTCACATGATTTTTTTTTCATCTGTTCTATTCCTGACAGAATATCATATGGCTGTTTATTCTAATAAGAGTCGTGTAATGAGAAATATGCTACAGTGTCCTACTTACATTGTTAGATTGCTGGAGGAAATGGAGCAGCAATGTATAAACAGAAAGAGACTCCAACACTCAGGTCCTGGGAGGTTTGCTGTTTTTTTCTGTCTTTTCCATACTGTCCCAGTGACCCAGAGTTCAGCATCTCCTTGCACTGCTTTTAACTGTCGATCAGATGACATCAATGCAACTCAGAGCCAAATATATTCTTAAACTCACCCTGCTCTAACATTTGCATGAAAACTGCAGCAAGTATTTTGTTATTCACTTTTGGATAACTAGATATTTTACACAGTTTTATTAGTTATAACTCTACAGTTCTCATGAAATATAACTTTGTAGACAATCGAGGTTGTTATTGGGTAGTGTTGTGGGGTAACTACAAAAACCTTCCACTAACAGAAGAAATTATTTCATGTTTATACAGTGTAAGATTAGGGTTATTTATGTTGCGTTCTCACAATAACAAAAGCACAGGAAAACCTCCCCTTATCCATCTGCTGATCTTTTAGATAAATATTCAAAATCAGCATTCTCTGAGTAGCTACAATATTAAAACCACCTGTCTAATATTATGTAGGTCTGATTTGTGCTGCGAAAGCAGCTCTGACCTGGCGGCCCATTGACTCAGGACTTCTGAGGTTCTCATGTTGTGTCTGACACCAGAACAAAATGATTTTTTGGGGGTCTTGTTGGTTGCAGTATGGGGGCCTTCGTGGATAAGGCTTTTTTTGGTGTATTGAGGGGATCATTGGGATCTGGGGTGTTTCGAGAGCCTTGGGCTCCTTGTCGTGTTCCTCTAGCTGTTCCTGAGCACTGTTTGAGGTGACAGGGAGATGATGGTTGAGTGCCATTGCTGTGGGAGGATGTGCTTGGTCTGGAAAAGTGTTTAGATGGGTAGTTTCCCAACAGAACATTGTTTTATAAGGAGATAAACAGTGTTGTTCACTTCACCCATCAGTGGTCTTAATGTTGTGGCTGATATGTGTCTTTGTAGTGGTTCGTTAACAAGTAAAACAAGATACAGTTCACACCATATAGCACCTCTTTTTAAATCACCTTCTTGTGTTAACGCAAGTTTTATGGTGACTTAATTACCGTGGTGCCAGCATTTTGTTGGCATTTTGTGTAGTTCTTTCCTTTCCTCCCAAGTGGGAGATATTGCTGCTCTTTTATATATATATCTCCAACTCCAATTACACGAATGGTTTCTCCCACTCTGCTGCTTGTAATTACATCCTCAGTCATCAACACCCTCCCACCCCCAACCCTCCCTTTGTGGATGGGACATTGTGAGCCTAATGCTGTTACATTATTTTTTTTTTTTTGAAGTGCATCAAGCATGGAAAAAGTTTCGACTGATGGATTTGTTGCACTTTTAGGGCTTAACAATTTAACAAATCCAAATCACAGGAGCTACATTTTTTTGATAAGGGTGAAATCTGTCACAACATAGCATTTTAAAAGAAGTGTAGAGGTGCTACAGAGCCCCAGCCTACAAACCATCTTCCCCAACAGGGAACACGGTTGTTTGGTGCAGACAAAAATCACATCATCATTTTATGTGGTTTCAGTGGAAAAGAATGCAAAAATACATTGGAATATATATATTTGTTGCATCTGTCAGCCCTACACGTTATTTTTATTTTTTTATTCTTTGTTTTGCTTCTTTTTAATAGATGATTATGCTTTCATAGTTTTTTTTTTAACCCATGTTAGTTCACGCTGGCATCAAATTGGCATCAGTAAGATGCTGAATTAGCTTTGAGGAGTTCCTGTTTGTAATGCACCCTCAAGTTACTTTGATATCAAGGAAATTCTGTAGTGAGGAGCATCTGTTTTTCTCTGATTTTTAGGTTAAATAATCCATCACCAGTTTTCCTTGGTGAAACCCTGATGACATAAGTTGTTTTGAAAATGTCCGCAGCTCATTCTATTGGTCACGGCTGTTTAGAAACATTTGCAGACATTATTGTCAGAATGCTTGTTTAAGTGCTTCGTAACTCAGTAATAACTCTGTGGAAGTGCACAGTTGTTATTTTTTGTAAATCAGTGGTCTCAAATAGATGGAGAACGGATATCAAGTTGTTTCTGGAATGAAAGGAAGCCTGTGCTGAAGCTCTGATCTGCCCTAAGGGGTCAGCGTCTTACAAAGGGATGTGAACATTCTTGGGTTATCTGTTGGCCAAAGTATCACAGGAAGTCGCTGAACCTGTCGACTTCAGCTGTTTTATCTGTTTTCTTAAAATGGAAAACCCCTTCAGATGATAGCTGCGAAAGAGTTTAGTTGACAAACAAATCTAATTAAATATAATAAAAACAAATTATTTCCTATACATCTCTGAATGTCAGAGACGTAGAAAATAATCGTAGTTGTGGCTGTTTTCAGAATTTGATGGCAGGAAGGAATCTGGGTCAGGAGGAAACACTTGAAGACTTGAGTTTTGTTTAGTTGAGCCATTTTCTGTGGCTGCAGATGATCAACAGGCTGCACTACGACAAGTGGCGCACTCAAAAACTGCTCTGTGTGTGTGTGTGTGTGTGGGTGTGCGTGTCTGTGTGTGTGTCTGTGTGAGTGTCTGTGTGAGTGTCTGTGTGTGTCTGTGTGTGTCTGTGTGTGTCTGTGTGAGTTTGGAGGCCCACTCCTCAGAGTTTACGAACAGGGTTAGCATTGTCCTGTCCCACTCCCCATGGGTTCACACAGTTAACACAGTTCCCTCTCTCTCTCCCTCCCAATACACACACAGAGCTTCCATTGTGGGACAGAAATAGCAAGTGTAATCCGACTAAAGTGGTCTTCTAGGGAAAAGAGAATGGGGGAAATTTGGGGAGAAGCGGGAAAATATCTGTATTTGGTGTTGCACAGAAGCAGCCACTTCAGTGTTGTGTTAACAGTGAGCTTTTATAAGCCAATGCAAATGCAGTGGTTACAGTTTACGATTCCCACTGGTACAGAGTGGGGCTAAACAATTGATTTCACATTGACACAATACAATTAGCAACATGCAAGGGCCGTAATTTACAATATATCTGATGCAGTGGTGTAAACGATTGTGTCAGTTGTTTTACAAGTTCATGCTGCTGTCTTTGTGTGACAGTTACATGTTTGATGGATTCTCATATGCTCCATCACATGTTTTCAAATCCATTACACTCTTGATACTGAATACTAGAACTGAAGCTTGACATGAAAAGTTATCTCATCAATCAAATGACAATTTTTGTGATAAAAACTGCTGTTAAGTATTTTCCTCTTATTTTTCAGTCCTCGTACTACTGTTTCTAAAAGAACTCAGTAAACTGAAAATCTTCCCAGCTTTTATAAAAGAAAAGATTGAGAAAATGATTGTAAGATTAATAACACCACTCTCATAGCCGTCTGTTTAACACAGTTTCTTTAACCATCAGCCAGAGGCAAGATGGCTGTTTCCAGCTATTGTCTTTATGCCAAGCTAAGATAACAACTTTCTGGCTCCAGCTTTAGTTTGTACATAGCTACGAGAATGCTATTGATCTTCTTTTCTTTTGACAAGAAAGAAAAATCTGTATTTACAACAATTTAGAACATTTTTTTTAATGGTAAATGATTCCTTACTTGTATGTTGCTCTATGCCTTAAGAAAAACTTGTGTGTTTTGTGTCACTAAAAAAGAGCGACAAGACAAATACCAAATAATACTTTTACAACAGTTTAAACTGAAAAGTAAGTAGTTACATATTTCAGGGAAGAGTGTTAAACACTTTAAACTGTCTCAAGTCTTTAGTTTATTGTTTGTATCTGTTAAGAATTTTTATGAGTGGGAACTGTTTGGCAAGCAGTTTCTCTGCACGTCGCCAGGCTAATAGGATCACATTTAATTCGAGTGCATTACTACGAGGAATACCTCAATATCCGAGCTTTGCAGTTTTCAGTCAAAACATCTTTGTTCTCCTTCCTGATTGCTGTGTTTGAACCTAAAGTACTCTTTTAACTTCCTGACCCTCTTACTATTAATCTGCCACACATGTCAACTCCACTCAGCTGCTCTTTGCCTGCTTTCCGCCTGACAGACACACTAAAGGCACACACAAAAACCCAGCAGTCATTATCAGCTGTTTGCGTCTGTCCCTCAGCCAGGTCGGCTGTCAGCAGACTCTAAGACAGTGAGATCACTAGACAGACCGTGTTAACTGTTTTGCTGACATGTGTCTGGTTATTGATGTTTGTTAAAATGTTGTACAAGCAAATGTGGTTTGTGAGGTGAGAATGAATCACCACTGTTAGTATAAATCTCCTATGTGTGTCTATTTGTTTTGCAGATAAATATGCAGAGTTTGACCTGAACGACCAAGGCGAGATTGGTGAGTAATAAGCAGCACTAAAACACCAGCTGCGCCCAAGATAACAACTGTTAGCTGACCTATGCACGGTGTCTGTCGACATGAGGCAACAGTAATTAATACTGTGTGTATTGTCTGGCTGCTGTGAGGACGGGGCTTGAACTGGCTCATGTGTCATGGTTGTGTCCTGTATGTAAAGTGAGACCATAACGCACATCAATGCATTGAAAGGCCTTTAGTTCTTGAGCAGGTGTGAGGCAAACTCAGACATTATATGTGGGGTGTGTCTGCGGGTCCTAAAAGAAACTGTTAAATTTCCTGTAGAACAAGTTGTGAGGGTTTTTACAGTCACTTAGGAGACATGTCTCTGAAGTGATGCCAAATGCAGGTGCTTCTTCCACTACTGGGGTACGGTCTGTAATGTTTCAACAATTAATGTATGGATTCCTGTGAAGTTTGGTGCAAACAAAGGCCAAAGTGTGAATTTGAATTACTTTTCTTGCAAGCACTTGGATGAAGATTTTAAATTTTCCAATACCTTGTTTTATAGCCTGTTACCTTTGAAACTAATAACATGTATATCAACCTCAACCACGCTTTGTATTTGGTGGTAATTAGTAAGTGCTAGCATGCTAACACACATACGAACACATAAACATGATAAATACATACATGTCAACTCCTTCAGACACCCAAGAATGTGCACGCTGCATAGTCAGACATCAAGCAGCATCCAGTGTCTTTGATGTACAGGAACATTTGAAATCACAAATGCATCAAAGAGAGAATCTGCCACAGATGACAATGTTTGCACATCAGATGCTCTGACAAATGTGGTGCTTTGCAACTTCATAGTGGAACACAAACTGCCAAAGACTGTAGCAAGCCTCACTGAACTTTTACCGCACACATATCGATGCTGATGTTTTTCCAGTTTGTATGATTTGATTTATATGTCAATTTAAATGACAATTACAAATGTTTCATAGACATCCTCAAAGTGAAAACATTTACGTAAACAGCTAAAATCTCTCTGCATTCTCATTTTGTTCGCTACACTTGGATACAAAGAAAATGCATCACCTAGGAATTTTACAATACTAACCCTTATTTGCAATGATAGATGGGTAATGTGGTTTCCTTACAGTAGCAGACACATACATAAAAGTGGTTCCTATTCTACCACCTGAATGGATGAATCTGATTGTCAATTGCCCCTTGCTTCAGATCTGATGGGTCTAAAGCGGATGATGGAGAAGCTGGGGGTGCCCAAGACCCACTTGGAGTTGAAAAAAATGATCGTTGAGGTGACAGGCGGCAGCAGCAACACCATCAACTACAGGGACTTTGTCAAGATGATGCTGGGAAAACGCTCAGCTGTGCTCAAACTGTAAGTAAACCGTTGTGTGTTTGCACATTAGAAGAATATAAATGTTGTGTTTATGTATATGCAGACTGTCTGTAAACCATCTGCTGTTTCATTGTGTGTGTTCATATGTGTGAGAGGGAGGATGCGTGTGTTGAGTCTCGTGTGCTGTGTCAGCCAATTGTTTCATCCATCAGTAGGGGGTTCATGACTAGCGATGATGTCACTACCCACATGCTGCATTAGTTGTTAATCGCCATGGTAACAAAACCCATCTATATAGCCTATCCATGGTCAACTCATCCTTATCTTTAGCTGCGCTCATGCGCTTAGGTAACAGATTATAGGCTGATTAACCACTGACCGTCACGGAGAGCTGCCAAAAATGCCCAAACTCATCTAATTTCCCAAGAAAATTGCTGTTTTGCAGTAAGCCTTGCTTTCAAATGTGTAATTATAATTTTTGAGTGTTCCTGCTGCATGGGTGTTATGTTGATGTCTGTTTTGAAATGGTGTGGTCACCGTAAGCCTTTCAAAAGCCTTTTAAAGCAGCCTTTCACTGGGTCAGTCTGTAGGAGCCAGGGCCAGTGTGGGTGCAGCGTGTCAGCTCCACTGGACTAAGCTGGCTGGACCCTTTAGTAGACAAATCTCATAATCCCAAAAACACCAAGCAGAGGAAATGCAAAACTTTAACTCCTTTGCCCTCAACCATTTTTCAAAAGTGTATCACCATAATCCTAGAGCTACTATTTATAAATTTCTCATTCTCCCCTGCCTCTCTTGTCCAGTAAGTAAGATAGACTGTAGTCCAGAAAAAGCTAGTGTTGGTATTATTGTCACCACTTCAGTAATTATATTTTGTTTTGGACGAGGTTTAAACAGAACTTAATAGGTTAATTTTACTACAAAAATGTTTGGATCATTATTTTGATCACTATTTTCTTCTAGCAGCGACCTTCTACCGCCTGCTATGACACTTTGTGATGTATGTGATATGCACATATAGTGTTTTCTTTGATAGAAAAAAAAAAAAGGTTGTTAATTATATTCTGTGCATTTATCAACCTACAAAGAGTTTCTGTGGATCTTAGTGTGTATGTTTTTCTTGTTTTGTTTTTTTTTATTCTAACCAGCAGCGTGCTGGACCTGCTGATAACAGCAAAGGTCTACAACGGCTCTCTTGTGTGCCGCTGTTTTTGTCTTCAGTGAGAGGGAGATTGGAGGGAGAAATCGAGGGTACAAAACTGCTTTAGAAAAGCGTTATTCAAAGCGTTTGGCAGGACAACAATTGATTTAGTTACAGTTAGAGGAAAATGATTGAGGTCAGGCTCCACAATTGGGCTCAGTCAGCATTAGACAAACACAAAGTACAAAAGGATACAGCCATTGTAGTTTGTTTCACCAAGGTTTTAGAATGGCAGATGAGCCTCATAGTGACTGGTTAACAGGTAGCAACAACAGAGAATGATATATACCGTTTTGTTATATTTTAGGCTTTCCACCAATCAAAATGATTATTATTACTATGCAAGTCAACAAAGCTTGAGTTTGTGCTGGATTAAATGATCACAGGGGTCCTACATCCTGACATACTGTCACTGTGTGTATCCGTGTTTTTGTCAGATTAATATAAGTATGCTGTGATCAGCCAGACACTTAATAAGCGTAACATGATAAAATCCAACCTTCATCATCATTCTGAATAGAAACACATTCACAGAAACTTTACTCATATGTGCAGCAGCTCATTTATTTACAAAAACAGAGCATGTACGGGATTGATCACTTAATCAGCAGTAGTTAATTGATGAATGGTGAATTGTCTGTCTTCGTTCAGCACTGGGAGCAGGTAGGTTACCACAAAGTGGGAAGAAAAACAGGAGTAGTTATCAGGGAGATGTTTGAGTCTGTGAGTGCCAGTCTCGTCGTTGGGATCATTGCTCCTTATGGGCTTAGTGGAGCTTTGCAGAGTTTTCCAAAAAAGGAAATTTAAGACAGGCATTCGCTCTGAATAGCTCCTGTCAGATCACTCACTCTGCAGCGTACAGCCTAAACCACCATTCCTCTGAGTCCTTGTGTGGTTTCTTTTCATTCCTTTCCTTTCTCTTATTGCGCAGCTACTTCATTCCTTGACTGTAACTTTGGCGCTCTGTAACCTGCAGTTTACACTTCAATGGTCACCACTTTCACTTTCTTGATCTACCTTCTATCATCCAAATTTACATTTAGATTGATGTTTTCCTGTCCTAATGCCTCTCTCCAGGGTGCTGAAAGCATCAAGCTAAACCTCTATGTCTCTATTTGTGCCTGTTAAAATGAATTCCAGTTGACACCATTACTGAACTAATTGATTAGTAGAACAGAAAATAGCTTTTTAGACTGAAAGGACCGTGTTCTACTTTGTAATTTGCAGAAAGTTGCTGCTTTTCTTTGTAGCTTAATAGTAATTTAATCTCTCTTTGGGATTAAGGCTGGCTCAGTCATACAAAACAAGTTATTTGAGGACGTAAGCTTGGGCTTTAGGAAACTGTACAAGTCCTTTTTTTTATTTTCTTAAGTTTCACACATTGAGCCCCTATCTTATAGTAACTAGGAAATAATTACTGTATTATTTAATTGTAGAATAGACTGTAATTGCAGCACTAATTTCAGTCAAACACACACAATTGCTGTAGTTTCTCTCTCTGTACTGTTGTATGTGACTCAGGTTTTTATCATTTTATTGTCAAACATTAATATGACGTAGCTAAACTAAGTCTGACTTCTTTATATTTTGCATTATTAGCATGCTAGCTGGGAAATGCAGATGAATGCAACATTTCTCTTTCGACTGGTGCGCTTGATGTCTAGTAATCACACTGAGTGGCTTCTTTATCGTCCTGTGTTACTACTGTAAACAGACTACATTAGATCAAACCAATTGTGAAGTTTCCCTCATTATGAAGCCAGAATCACCTTAACAACCCACTAACACACCCCAAGCAGCTCCAGCAAATCACCCAGAACTCTCCACCTGCTTCATAGCAACCTCCAGAATATGCCCTAGCAAGTACCTAGCAACTCTAACAACTACACAGCGACCAGCTAGCAACACTTCAATACAAACCTGGTCCAAGTTTCTCGCAAAGCAGGCACATGTGAGGGTTTTTAGTTCACTTTTCTTTGTAAATATCAAAAAATATTCTGACGTCTGAGTGCCACTTTATAGATTACCTCTTCATCTGTCTTTTCAAATCGGCCTTCATGCATTCTCGTGCACATCTCCAGCAAATTACATGGAATATTATGACTTCTCTCTCTCCACAGAGTTCTGATTTTCGAAGACAAAGCCAACGGCTCACCCTGCAAGCCAGACGGACCCCCTCCGAAGCGGGACATCGCTAGCCTGCCTTAAGCCTAGATGTCAGCCTCCAGACTGCTAGTGGAGCAGAGGGACCATCAGTGGTTGCGTGGAATAACATGTGGAGTGTCGTGATAATGTGGGACCCGTGATCGAGGATGTTATTTTGTGAATATATACGATGTGTGCAAGGTTTCTGTTATTTGGAAGACTGAGCCCAAAACTCACTAAATGATGTTTGACTGTGAATATTCTGATTCATCTTTTATTTTTCCTTAATTAAGATGTAGCAGTGATAGGTGTACACGTAATCAGCTCGGTAAGTTAAAACATTTTCCTAGTAAGTGTTTCGTGGGTATATTTTAAGGGAAGACTCAAAATTCTCCACTAAGTTGCTTTTCCTTCTGTGTTCCGTTGTTTCGTTTTTTTGAGACGCATTCGGTTTTAACGACGTGAGGGTAGGACGTTTTTTGAAGAAGCACAAGGAAAAGAAGCAGTTTTTTCCGACACATTTTTTTGCACTGTCCTCAGCGGTCTTTGCATGGATTCCTGCCAGGCTTATCTTAGTCAACGCCTCGCTTTAGATCAGGTGCCAGAGATTACAGGGCCAGCTCATTTCCTCTGGGACATCAGCTCCTTGAAGCTGAAACACTGATCTGGAATCAGTAGTTATCAGGAGCCATCTCATGAGGCGATAACCATTTTCTGTAGATGAGTGTACTGCTACGCGTTTCGAATATCCACTCACACATAATCGACAGAAGAATAAGAGATCATCTCGACCGGGGGGGGACTTTCAGTGTCAGTACGCGGCTTGAAGCACAGCAAATTCGAGTCCGTTTCAGATCTGTGAGGTTTACGGAAGGAGTGTGATTTACAAGCACACAAGCAGAACAAATGTACATATTATTACTCCACACAGTACAATCATATTCTTTCCAAGTGCCTCAACATGCAGATACTGTAGACGCTGTAGAGTTAAACACGCAGTTTCAACAAGAGGGTGCACACAAGTGTTCAGTTCAAGCTTAGCTTATTAACTCCAGAAAACCATGAAACAATGTTCTTTGGTATTTAAGGTAGTTTTAATGTTGAATTTTATCGATTCTATTTTTTTTTCTTGCTTTCCACAAAGTCCTGAGTGAGTGAAATTCACAAGTGGTATTTTTTTTTAAATGTATCTCGTGTTTTATCCCCTTTTTTTCTAACCATCATTTTATATGTCACTGCAAGCATTTAATCTGTTTATTGGGCGATTTATGTTCATCTTTCTCCCACGTATTGTTTTATCAACCAGCCATTTATCTTTGTTTAACAGGGTTTAATGTCCTTTGAATTCAGTCATGTGTGCCTCTGTGTTTGTGTACAGTTTTTCCTATAACTCACGCTATTTACTGTGAAATCGGTACTTTTCCATCTAACATGTTGGTGGTTTCTTTTCAGTCTGGTAGATATCTTACATATTTTAGTGTTGTTAAGATGCACATTGTTTGCAGACACCAAAGGAATTAAACATTTCTTCTTACACTGGCCTGTTAAGTTTTAAATTGTCAACAGAGGTAACGGAGATCCTGCTTAAACAAGTGGTGACAAGTTGAACAATAGGATTTGATGGCATCCTGCACAGAGAGAGGTTAAATGCAGTAATATTTACTGTCTCTTTATACTGTATAATAAAAGGTGACTTGGCCTTCACTTACAAAGAGCTCCGCAGTCATAAAGATTAGCCGTCCTTTAAGCAAGTTTACAATGGGAAGAAGATCGCGTTGCAACACATCTTTGGCTGTTTGTGCAGATAAATGTACAGGTGAAACTAATGCATTATCACTTTTGCAAACACAACGTCTTGTGTTTCATTTCATCTTCCATTTCCTTTTCTGTATGACGATTAATCCTGTGTGTGTGGCTGTCACTGCTAGTTGAGTCACTGTTTCAGAGTTCAAAAAAAAAAAGAAAAAAAATTGCTTTCATTCCATATTTTTATGTACTTGCGTGCAAACATACACTTGAGCAATAAAATGTTTTCATGAGAAAGTAAACAGCTTGCGAGGTGTAAACTGTCCCTTACATGGCTGTGAATGTGTTGTGCGTGGTATGCGAGGGGCTGTTCACGTTTTTGCTTCTTGTGCGAGAGAGCGTTTGCTTGGGTGTGGAACAGTGGAGAGGATAATAAGCAATGCTTTAACAAGCGTGCTAACAGGCGGACCCAGCGGGATTATAATAAGCACCTCTGTAATTAAAATGATAACCACTGTTGCATGTAATAAACTGCCAGGAGCTTATGTAGGCACAATGGAGGAAGAAGAGTTGGACAGAGCTGGGATTCTCCAGCAAGGAAATAACAAAATTGCAGTAATGGCAGTGCAGGTCCACTTTTATTAACTTTGTTTTCCACAGTTAACTATTTGTTTTGCTGCATTTCTCTACATTTTTTAAATATAAAGTGCATCAGTGTGGTTGTTGTGATGTTCCACGCTCTGGCTTCTCTGTGTTTTGTTCCTCACTGTCTCATTTTTTCTGTCTATGGCATGAGTCAGTGTGCTTCAGCTGTGTGTTCAGAAGATTTACTGCATACACACCATCTTCCAGCCTCATTCTTTTGATTTATCTCTCTAGTTATTACTCCATCAGTTATTCTTTATGGTAATAACAAGTTAATGGATCTCTGTCATGGAAATACCCAGTGTAATCCTCCAGCGCCTCAGGTAAGCAGAGCATTAAACACATTTAGAACCACCGTCCTGAGCAGAAGCCCGTCTCCTGCTCGGACATTGCCATCTGCTGGACATTTAAAGCCTGAGTGCCTTATTTGATTGGAAATCAGGTCGGTTGATTCTGTGCTCTTGTTTAAGTCACTTCTTAAAACACATTTTTATCAGAGAGCTTTTCCTGATTTTATTTAATTTTTATGTTTTTATAGCCTCTTGTTCTTATGACTGGTTTCATCCACCAAGCTGGTGCATAAAACAAACATGGGCTCTCTTAAATGATCTATTTGTGTGCTTTATTTTATTTTTATTTTATTTTTATTGGAAAGCACTTTGTAACATTTGTTTTTGAAAAGTGCTAGAAGTAAAGTTTATTATTATTATTATTATTATTATTATTATTATTATTATAAATTGGAGATAAAGCTACCCTAAATTAAATGGTTTCATTAAAAAAAAATAAGAAGAATAATTAATTAAAAATTATGATTTCTCCATTAGTCAGCTAAACATTTTAAATTTAAGAATTCGGATTTCTTTCCACACAAACCAAATTGCCCAAAACCCAGCTTGCCCTGTGGGGCTTCATTAAGCTCATCAGCAGACAAGTAAAATTATAGCTAAGGACCATTTCCCAACCTGTGCTCAGTCTATTCTTCATAACACCCTTTAATAACTTTTGTGTATAATGAACACAAATATAAATGCATCATGTGATATTTTATGAAATTCTATCCAGTCTTTTTTTTATATTTTTTTTAGCATGGAACAGGAAGTATTAGCTTTCCAAACACATCTCTACAACAGATCGGATGTCATGAAACAACCAAGGACGCTCTATGTTGTAAATGACAATCGACCGGTTGAGAGTGGGGTCACAGAAGAGAAATCACAAGTCGGTGATGAGTCACACATCAGCGACACACAGAGTTAATGAGGCTGTCGATGTTGCTGGAGGAATGTTGAATGCTGAAGGCCTGCTACTTACCAAAACTGACACGCCAGTTCCAGGAGCCAACTGCTCAGTGTCGTCTTGTCATCTGTGGCATCATGTCGTTTAAATAACGCTGCATTTTAAGGTCAAAGGAGCGTCTGTGTGCTGGTCTCACTGTCTGATCGTGGTCCTTTAAAGCCACGCTTGACCAGGGGGTGGATGAAGTGGAGACTACAGCTTAAAAAATAAATTTAAAAAAAATGTGCAAAATTAGCTAAAGTGAACTCTTTCCTAACCATAACCTTTTTTTTTCTTTTTCTTTTGTCTAAGTCAGAAAAGAAAACCATCTGCATGCTGTGTTTGTATTTTTGTTCCATTTAGATGTGAATCAAATGAACATAAAAGCCTTTTGTACTAATTTATTGTGGTTGTGTAGTCTCAACAACACCTTGGTTTCAAATATGGCGCATGCGTTGCTTTATCATACATCCCATCTTCTTACAAGTTTGATGTTTCCTTTTAGCCTTTTTGTTGTTGTTGTTGTTGTTGTTGTTGTTGTTGCATAGGGTCTATAATCATCACATGGACTTGACTATCCATCTAAGCCATCTCAGTATAAGTCATGTATCAGTCCATAAATATATATAGAATTCAATTATAAATGCAAATGCCGACTTCATTTTGTTTTCAAAGTGATGTTCAAACTGTGGTATTCTTATTAGGTTCCCCCCATTTATTTTAATGTCACTTCAACACTTACAGTTTGACACGTTACACCCCTAACCTTTGACCTTTTGTCGATAGTAAATGCAAAAAAAACTAACACAAAACACAGTAGCTGGGTATGAAGTCACACTTTGCATGTTCAAATCTGGGATTAATCATCAATGCTCTGTGCTTCTGATTGCAAGTAGTTCATTGATATATTTGCAGCTAAAAAAAATAAATAAAAGACAGAACCACCTGCAACACTGACGTGCAACCACAAGATGGCGCCACTGAGAGGAACGTCAGCGATCAAGTCCAGCTTCAGGTATGTGATCAGAGATGAGGAGTTAATATATATGGAAAAAATAGACTGTCCAACACTCTGAAGGGACCCTAGAAAAAGCCCTGTTGTTGAGCTTCTATTGATCAGTAATCTTACATTTGATTTGCTGACAAAAGATCAAATGGCAACAAGTTTGACAATGAAAGAATCACCGAAATCATGTTTTCTGTGGAACCAATGAAGGAAATATATTCAAATATTATTATTTTCATTGTATAAGCTTTAAAATTGTGCCTGTTTTTTTTTTTTTTCTTAAAGGGCCTTTATTTATTTATCTATATACATTTAGGATTTAGCGAATAAAAATGAAAGTTTTTTGATATTTTGGGATATTTTTATACACTAAAAAAATGTATAGGTTATGAAAATTATTGTATTATTGTACTGATTTTTTTTTTGTCTAAATATATCTTTATCTCTACATGTGATGTATTTATAGTCCTTGAGGTTTGCAGTGTGTAGTTGCGTAAAACACACACACACAAACCGTAGTAAACTATTTGATAAAAACAACCTTTACAAATTATCTAGCTCAAGATAAACTTTGCCACAGGCTCCACAAGAAAATGCGACAAGAATGAGGAGGAAGGACAGTTCATCAAATTAAATAAACCCCAATGATATGATATGTAGTAAACCTGGAGCTTTTGGGGGCCCCTGGACAGCTGCCCTCTTTGCCTGGGTGGTCCATCCTCGTCCTCATATATCTAACAGATGAACAGAAACATCATTCACTCTGTCTACTGTATGTGCACTGAACTCCAGGATTTCTAGAGCTCTAAAACATGGAGACTGTATACAACTTTGCTTGCATCCTTTCAGCCTCTAAGCGCATACAGAGCGCCGCATTCACAATACGGCAAGTGTCACTGACAAGGACTTCTGGGACTAACTGTTAATTCCTACCAGACTTCTCAAGGGAGTCATGGTAACTGTTCACCAGCCATTCTTTCTTTAATAATCAGTCACAGACGGACTGGTGAAACCTGTATTTGCTCAGCCTGTACTTTGGGTTATGCTTTGTGTTTGTAAAAAAAAATAAGAATAAAAGTGTTTAAAGTTACCGAAGATATCGCTTCTAGTGTTGGTCTCTGTGACGACGCAGGACCTGGAGAGTCTTTACTTGGATTTATCACAATGCATTCACAGATTTGGTCATGCATCACAGTCAATGAGCAGTTCTTCTCATTCCCACTAGTTCATTGTTATTCAGCGCGTGTCTATGAGGATTCTTAGTCTTTCAGGGCATGAGATACAGTAGGAGTGGCTCCGCTCAAACCTCAGCTTCTTAGAGGACTTAACAAATATCACTGAGACTTACTTGCAAAGTCAAACTGAGTTTTACCGACTACTTCTGGAGATGTTCACAAGCAGATCAACCCGAGCCAACAAAGGCGCATCTGTAGGATCTGCAATCAAACACACACAAAAAAAAGGCTGAATTGTGGGTGGTTCTCAGCTGTCTCACATGTCAGAGAAGACCTGTCAAAACCTAAATGATAAACTGACAGCTTTTATGCGAGGAGAATATGGGTATGTAGATTGCAGATTTACAGATGAAGTGCCACCATGGGAATCAACTCAGGTCAGGCTAGAATTTTCCTAAAACCCTGTTGCCGTAATTATTAAAATGGTCAAATCATGGTCTCTGAAGACATATGAGCGTCCTCTCTGCTCTTAATCCTATCAAATGTTCACTCTCCTTTGCCTTTCCAGCTCTTAAATAGATTATCAAATTGTATAAAACAGAACATGACTCATAAGCAACAGCCCTAAACTGCATTTCATATTGAAGTCACCACCGCAGAACAAAATAGTATAATTAGAAGGGATTACATGAATCAATAAAAACACAATAGAAATTACATGATTTATTGATCTATGGGCTATGATTCATATTTTGAAAATTTCCTTTTTACCATTAGCTTGGAGTTGTACATATCAGAATCTGGTTCTTTCTTGACACAGCGCTACAGTTCTGCTCTCAAAGCGCCCGCACACCATCCGAGTAAACAAAGACTCTTTTGTTTTAAGGAAAATGTTTGCATCCTAACATGTGTGCTCTAAGTGTATACCCTACAAGAGCTGATGTCTGCCTCAGACGCAGGAGGACATGCTGTACCGACAGTAGGATGTGTACTCAGTTCAGTGGCATTTCATTTACATAGTGGGCTGGAATACAAACCTTGTTTAGAGTCCAGTCATTACAGTAGATATTGACTATTTAAAACCATTTTGGCATACATTTAAGGAAAAACAGAAGATGAATTTGGTTTAGGTTGTTGTCTAATTGTTATGTGACCACAGAATTATATTCGTATAAAACCTTGTGCACAGTCTGATGCA